CGATACCAGCTCATAGCGGAGCCCACTATGAAACCCAAGATCATCCCCCGACTGGTTCTCCGCTCACTCAATGGCATCCACATCAAGATCAAACCTTTAGAGACTTAGCTAAAGTGCACTAACTGCAAGAACTGCTGAAAATTACTGTATTTAGAAAGTAAATACTTTATGTTGATTTGAAATACTTCTACTATATAACTGAGCTTTCACATGTCATTTAATGAACGCTGTTGTGTAGTTTATGTTTTAGGAGAAATTACTTGTTGAAAAAAATCTGCTTTTTATACTAAAACAGTAAAGGAGAAGCTTGTGCACTTTGTCAGAAAGTAATAGAATTTGTGTTGGGGGTTTTATTGGGGGGGGTTTTATAGTACATAACAGATTTGTAGTAAATGGCATTGCACTGACATCATTTGCAGTGTAAAGCTGTAGATAAAATTCTAGTGAATACAACTTCTGTCTCAGTTTTACACTCCATCATTTAATATTTCTATTTTAAGATAGAGGAAGAGGACTGGTGTTGTGCTGTAAATTAAATTAGCATTCTTTTTCCAACAAAACATAATAACAAATTTTTTTTAAAGTTCTTCACTGTATTTTAGTATTCAGGATCAACCAAATCAAAAAGGTTTAATTGAGCTCATATTTCCATATTACTTCTATTGTTTAAAAGAGAGCTCTCTTTGACCTATAATGAAGATCATTTATCTATGTTTGTGCATTTATATGAAGTCTTATCTAGTCAGCATGAAAGCAATTCATAGATATATGATCAAAGTTTATCTCTGGAATATAACCTTATTTTACAGAGGCAGACTGTAAAGTTGATGCTTAAAAATGTGGACAATGTATCAAATTACTCGCATTGCATTTAGAGTCTTTCCTCATACATACAGCTTATTGTAAATCTGAAATATCAGTTTATATCAAGGCAAATTCACACTGGAGTGATATATATGGTTAATTAAATGTAAGAAAAATGACAAAACCTTTACCTCTGACTGATATCTTTGAGTCCACTTGTCCTTTAAGAGGGGAAGGTTACCAGAAATCAATACAAGCTTGTTCTGAGTGGTCATATTAATCCAATGATGAGACATTTCTATCCTCTTGTGGGCAGGGATGCCACTCACAGGGCACGGGGGGCCACTGAATAGTTCGACTGAAAAAATGATCTTGGGTAAATGGTACGGCCTTTGTTGTCAGCATATCTCTGACAACATCTACTACAGAGCTTTTATTGTGTTCAGAATTGTGTTAATGGATTTTTACAGTGCGGACAACCAAGATGACATAATTAGATAGCAAATGCAATTAAACAACATGTTTAAAGATCAGTTAACACTGGAGCCTTGTTCAAGCCCCCCCTCCATGACCTCGTCGATATCCAACCTGGAAAAAATACACAAAATAACATTCAGTTGCCTCAACGTGTAAACAAACCTAGAGAAGGGACACAAAAAGGACAGCATAAATACAGAGGAGAGAGGGAGATAAGAGAAGCTGGAGGACAAAGCTCCAGATCCAAACATCAGTAACTGACAGCCAAGGGGGAGAAAGAGGTCCCAGGATGGTTGATGATCCGGAACAGAGAGACCTGAGAGGAAGAGAAGAGGGAGCATCAAAGCAGTCGAACAAACACAAAGGTTATTCCAAATTTAACACCGCAGTTTTTAGCTGCCAAGAGTTAATGTACACTGGTCTCTGTGCTGCATATGCTGTCAAAAACACGCTGATATCCAGCAGGTAAGATAAGACATTTGCAGCTTTAGTGAGTGCAGTTTCACCGGAGTGACAGGCCTTGGAAGCAGACTGGGGGGGGGGGGGGGGGGGAGAGAAACGATGATGATTACTGTTTCCTGTGAGGGCGCACACACTACCAGTCAAAAGTTTGGACACACCTTCTCATTTCATGTTTTTATTTATTTTCATGACTTTTTAGATTCTCGCCAAAGGCATCAAAACTATGAATAGTCACCGTTTGCTGTGATTACTGCTTTGCAGACTCTTGGCATTCACTCAGTGAGCTTCATGAGGTCATCTCCTGAAATGGTTTTCTAACAGTCTTGAAGGAGTTCCCAGAGATGCTGAGCACTTGTTGGCCTTCTTCCTTCACTCTGTGGTCCATCTCATCCCAAGCTGTCTCCATTGGGTTTATGTCAGGTGACTGTAGAGGCCAGGCCATCTGGCGCAGCACTCCATCACTCTCCTTTTTGGCCAAATAGCCCTCACACAGCCTGGAGGTGTGTTTGGGGTCATTGTCCTGTAGAAAAATAAATGATGGTCCAGCTAAACTAGAACAGGATGGCATGTCGCTGCAGGATGCTGTGTTAGCTATGCTGGTTCTGTGTTCCTTCATTTTGAATACATTTCCAAAAGTGTCACCAGCAAAGCATCCTGTACACCATCACACCTCCTCAATGCTTCAAGGTGGGAACCATGTATGTAGAGACCATCCGTTCACTTTTTCTGTGTCGCACAAAGACACGGCGAAGTACAGATTTAGACTGGTTCAATGTCCATTCCTTGTGTTCCTTGGCCCCCCAAAAATCTCTTCTGCTTGTTGCTTTTCCTTAGTTGTGGTTTCTTAGCAGCTATTTGACTATAAAGGCCTGATTCACACAGTCTCCTCTTCTGCACAACACAATTGATGGTCCCAACCCCATTAAGAGGACAAGAAATTCCACAAATGAACCCTGACAAGGCACACCTTTAAAGTGAAAACCATGTCAGGTTACTACATCACGGAGCTCATTGAGAGAATACCAAGGATTTGCAGGACTGTCAACAAAGAAAAGGGAAGCTATTCTGAAATATAAAACATATTTACGGTTATTTATCAGCTTTTTCCTTGCTACATAATTACATACATCTTGCTTCATATATTTGATGTCTTCAGTATGTATCTACAATGCAGAAAGTAGTCAATTTAAAGAAAAAAACATTAAATGAGAAGGTGTGTCCAAACTTTTGCCTGGTGGTGTACATTACCAACACATTCAAAAGGACATGACTGGTCGGTAATCAGTAACCAATAACAGAGACGGCTTAAGTCAAAGATACTGTAAACCACAACAGTTTCAAAGTTAGGAGGGAGTAGTTTCACATTTCATCAGTTACTGAATGCAGGTCAGAAAACTGCAAACTAATAACTAAATGGGAGCTTCAGGAGATCTTTAAAAGGTTAAGTTGGCACAACCATCTGATAAGTTTTTAAGCAAGCACCTATAAGACAACATTTGAAGTAAAGAAGTCTCAGAATTTGTTGAAGTCTATCTGCAACAGATAATATAATATATAAAATTGCTTTATGTCAAAAAGGTGCGAAATTAAGCAATGGCGTCCCTAAAGTGTCAAAAACACATGATGAAGCCAGAGAATTAACCTGTTCTAGCAACGAGCGGAGCACACTTATCATTCCGTACAAGTGAAAAGGTTTCTGTTTTCATTTACACCTTTTTTTAGTCTCCTGCAGCACTGTTAGACAGCATGCGTACATGCTTCTGCAAACCAGAAACCCGGTTCATCATCTCGCTTCAGGTAGGCAGAGATAGAAGTGAATATGTGGGGCGAGACAGCTGCACTTAAGTCCCGACTTCAGTTTCACTGCCTATCTCTGCTGTTAGACAGGCCAGGTGCTGGAGCAATTTCACAACAAGAGTCGTTAAAGCGTGTGCAGAAGTGTCACAAAGACACGTTATAATCCCCTTCTGCAATGTGCAGGTTCATACACAACTGGGTGAAAGTATCAAGAAGGGCCAGAAAGGCTCATGAGTCAAAAGTACTCTTTTATTTACAGTCATATTACAAAATCCACACACCCACAAGGACAAAAAGTCACCAGTACAGGTTGTATAAAAATGAAATGACGTCCTCTTTCTTTTATCTCAGATTGCCAACCTTTCGCTGATTTAAGATCCTAATAACTGATCACTTGAATTTCCTGTGAAAACTCCCAAAATGCATTGCATCTTCTGTCGCTGCCTCATGCAGAAATAACCTCAAGCCGACTTGACTTGACTTTTTGGCCGATGTCAGACCAGGCACCACATCAAAAAGAAACAACAATGTTATGTGGCAGCCTTGTGGTCAGAATGCATGTTGCACTGAGACCACAGCATTTAATCTGCGATTCCAGCTAGGAACCTTTGCTACAAATCACTTACCCTCTCCTCTCAATTACTACTACGGCTGTTCTGTCCATATTTGAAAGAGAAAAATCCAAACCACTATACTATATAAGATATAACACAATTTAATGGTGGACTTAAACATGGCCACAGTCTTTATTAACCAGCTACAGCCAGCTGATTACATGTTTGACACAGAGAACTTTTAACCGTTTGTTCAAAACAGTAATACGTTGTATAAACTGCACTGTACTGTTTCATGTGAGAGATGCTAACATGCTACGTGACATTTAGAATAGTTTAAATCCTAATTCTCTTTTTACTAACCTTTTATTTTGCCTTTCAAGTTGGTATTTGTTCTTGTGCTAGTGTATACTCAGCTGTATTCTGTTAGTGCTTAGCAAAAGTTCACTTAAATGCCGAGCAGAACAAAAGTGTGAGAGTACACCTGTGGTGGAAAAGTGGGCAACAAACCATTTAAAAGTAATATACTTGAAAAAGCCAAAGAACAAATATGTTCGGAATACTGTTTGGACAGGGCAAATAGCTTATCAGCGACATGTGAACGTTTAGAAGCTTGAAGCTCCACTTTCATGTGATGCCACATATATAACGATGATTTCTGTAACTGTGTAGCCAGTGTCACTGAAAATGCACAAGCCACCACCTAGTGGGTTGTTGGAAAAAACGCAGGACACTTTGGTTCATATGATGCTGGTCTAATATATGGAATGAAAAGCTTGCAGTCAATAATACACTTGTATTATATGTTTTCATGATAAAAATCAGCCCTGTGTTTTGACAGAAATTCAGTTCATATCTGCAATCTCTGGCCCCCCTGACTCATCACAGTAAAATCTGATAGAAAAGTACGTTTTGCTTTCCTTTAATAGTATTTTCAACATTCTAAAGAAGTGAAAAAAATATTGAAATTGTAGAAAAAATACAACCTTACATCAAATTCGTCAAAAACATAACTCGATGACCCACCATATCTTCGTAAAGAATCACTCAGATAACCATACCTGCCACTTTGAGCCTCAGATGTGAAGTCCTGTAAATGTATTTTAAATTTTGTTGCAATCAATAAGCTTCTACTTATCAGCTACCAGTTTAACAGATGCAGACACATCTTGTGACAGACCAAAACAGAACTTGTGTGATGACTTCTTGTAATGACAACGAGTACACGACAAATTAAAAGAAAAAAACAAAATAGAAAACAACAAAAAAAATGGAAGTGAATGGCTCCATCTCGTCCAGGTCACAGTCCCTGATGTTTCTGCTGGTAACCTGAGAGTCAGCAGCTTTGAGAAACTGGTTAGATGAGTAGTGAAGGGGTGGGTTTCTTGCCTGGCCAAGTTTCTTTGGCATACTTCTTTTTTCGTGGCTCGTTGTGGGTCTCCGGTAGGTAAGGAGCTGTAACAGGTGTGGGGTTGAGAGTGACAGGTGGCTGTGGAGCCTCAGGGGCCAGGTCTACCTCTGGTGCTGGGTTAGGGAAAGGGAGAGGAAGCCCTCCCTGCATGGCAACACCTCCTGGAGCTCCTATCGGCTGGTTCTCATGACTGGTGGGAGGCAAGTCCCCATAGAGACCACCACCAAAGCCGTAGCCGTGCATGCGTTTTGAAGTCAAGTCATCAAAACCCAAAGTGTTCTGGCCCTCTAATCTCCGTTTCTACAGCAGGGATAGCAGAGCATCAGCTTCACAGTTCATACACTTAATACATGTTTACCTTTCCAAGTCATACAGCTAGACCACTGCAAATGGTAGTGTTACACTGGGCATACTGGGGCCACCCAGTGAGCTACACAGGACAACTTTTTATTTTTGCAAAAAATGCACATTTATCACCTTAAAAATTACATTTCTTTAACCATCCTGTCAGCTAAATGTATCTGACATCAAAACTCACCTTTATAGGGATGACAGCAGTCTGCACCATATTTCTGAAGCGCCCAACAGAGGGGTCTATATCCTCTGTAAAGATTTAAAGAACAGTTGGTATACATTAGCGCTGGGGGCATTTCTTCTCATTAGAATTCACAATCAACATATTTGATCAGTGACATATCAGCCATAAGCCACCTCACTGCAAACCCACATTAATTAATGCGTTTCTAGCCTGGAATGAAAAGTATCCAAATTTAGTTTATTTGGCTTAATCTTAACTAATCTAATCATCAAAGCTCATTTTCTTCTCATGTACATGCTGTAAATAAAATAACAATCCACTAGTTTTTGGGTAACTAACTTGAGTACCTGGATTAATGATGGAATCTTCTTCACTGAAGGTAACTCTGGAATTTTTTCGTTTCCTCTTGGGCCTCTGGATTTCCAGGTTGCCTTCCTCAATGGTGAGGAGGGAGATGCGCTTGTTGTGAGCTGTGTTGAACTCTGTCAGGTTCTGGCAGGTTAAAAACATTACATATGAGCAAAATAGCTGCATGAATGTCAAAATATCCCAACATAACAACACGATATACCGGAACAAACTTGATAGAAAAAAACAGTATTATAAATAGGGATGGGTATCGTTTAGGTTTTATCCGATACCGGTGCCAAATCGGTACTTTTGAAACGGTGCCGGTGCTCAAACGGTGCTCAAACCGGTGCTTAAAGAATGGAGAACACAAAATTGGTCCAAAAACCTCTCATGTTCAGCTGTTTTTTGTAAAAAGATAACAATGTTAGCCTTTTCTGCAGCTATGGGGCATATATGGTATCACTCTTGGCTGGAAGCAGTGCTTAAACAATGGAAAAAACACAAACTTTGTCCTAAACCTCTCATGTTTAACTGTTTTCCACTTTTTCTTTGGTCATTTTAGCCTTTTTAGCCAGGGTGAAGGGAGTATCTGCCATCAAACAAGAAGACAGCAGCATGTAGCTATGATGATGTTTGCTAGTTCACCTTACATGAATTAATGTAATAACGTGGTTAGCCTACTCACGCAGAGAAGAACGGCTGCTGCTGCATCATCATCCGTCATCATTTCTGCTACACTGGCAGGGCTAGGGGCCAGGACTCTCCTCTTCGTGTTTTTGGGGGATGTTGCATAACAGGCAACCCACCCGCAGTAGATGTGCTCGGTGTGAGGTCTCGCAGCAAGCTATCAAATACGGCGCATTTCTGGGCTTTTAAAAAAAACGCTATGCGTCGCCAGGTGTTTCATCGGATTTGAGGTGTTACCTCCTTTGACAGTATCACAGTATCAGCTTAAAGCACTTGTTGCAGGCTGCTGAGTTTGCATATTTTGCTATGAAGTACAGCCAGACTTTTAACCGCTTCGCCTTGGGCATTTTTAATCTGTAGCTCTGCTTTAACAGAACGTACGTACGTACCTGGCCCCGCCTACTATCCTCGGAAACGTAAAATGATTGGCTAGAATCTAAAGTGTATCACAGCTCAGGGAAAAAAAGCACTGAAATAAAGCACCGAAATGTGCGCTGCTTTTCGGTCTGGTTACTACCGTTTATGTCAGAACATGGCACCGGACACCGGTACCCATCCCTAATTATAAAGTGTCATATCGTGATAATTTTGTGAGGCCACATCGAAAAGGCTCGGATGAGCTTTCCAAAGTTCTACAAGTTGTGCCTCCATCCCTTGTGTCCAGATCACACGCTGCACTGCCGTGCTACTCCGTCTTTTTCACCGACATTTATGCGTTTGCGCATGCGCAGTGTGAGCGGCTGCGGTGACACCCTCACGACGGTCGTGAGGATTTCAAACCTGTTTGAAATCCTCCCGACCAAGCGATTGATGATCGGGAGCTGGTCGGGAGGTGTTAATCACTTCTCGTTCCCCACGTATACTACTCGATGCACGATGAAGGCCAAACTCGGGCCGATCACCAAAACGGTCGCACGACTCAACAATCGGCTCAAAATGGGCCAAAAATCGCACAGTGTAAGCCCAGCTTAACTTATAAAAATAACACGTGGAGTTTTCTAGTCAGAAGACGTATCGCAGTATCATGTGCATTATGAGTGAAGGGGTTACAAATTGAAGAGCTTAGCCTATTTAAACAGACCTAATTTAGTGTTTTTTAGTGCACCAAAATACATACTGTGGACCTGAGAGGTATTCACATCAGCCATGATATTCCTTTCCCGTGCAGTTCATGTTTCAGAATATAAACTAACTGTACCTCCAGTTCTGTCTCTTCTTCTGGAAGCCCAAGCAGTCCTTTCAGCTCCTCATCATCTCCTGTCTTGCTGTCCCCTGTGCCAGCACTGCCTTGGGTTTGAGGTTTCTCTCTGATGGTGTAAGTCCGTGTTGAGGCCCCAAAAGATATTGTAGAGTCTATGGGAACCTGCTGAGGCTTGTGGGCCTCCAGCCGAATGTGTCCAAGGAAAGTACCGTGTGCTAAATGATGACATCAAGCACAGTTTTAGGACTGATGTGTGTAGCTAAGCCTGATGTAATAATGAAACAACAATAATTCAAGGTAGTCAAACAATACATTTTGTCAATATTTGGTAACTTTTCTGACTTGCCTGACCCAGCAATATTAAATACTAATATAACAATGACCTCTGCATTAACAGAGGCCATGTTTAAGCACATAATGTCTGGTGTGATCAAACTGCAATTTTTCTTTATATCCAGTTATTCTCATAAATGTGATTTTTAGTCCATTCTTAATTTTATCATCTATAACATCATTTTCATTAATACGTTTTTGCTAATATTTTTAAAAAGGTCCAATGTGTGCCACTTTCTTGCCAAAACTCAGTTGCCAGCTGGCATATCATGTTTCTATTTATTTTTTGCAGCTGGTTATAACAAACGAGAAAGAGAGAATGCATAACTGCTACACAAGACAACTACTTCTTTTGAGTGCTCCCCTTAGCAGCCACCACCCACTCTTTCCCTTTCACTGCCATAGCCAACTGATATGTCATCTGCTCCATCCTTAGTCTCCAGCCTTACCTACATCTCACTCGCTCCTAGTGTGCTGTATTCCTAGCCAACCAGTAATCCTGTCTAATTCCTTCATCTTCCTGACTACTGAATATTTGAATACTTTCTTGTACTGTGTTATTCCATGACAAAGTCTCCTTGTTTGCTCTGTCCAGACGATGCACCAAACAGCTTTGCCTGAGCACTTCAGCTGTATTTTCCCAGTCATCTGGTAAATTTCCCCTAAGACCCAGAGCCTGTCTCCTCAACTCCTCCCTAAATTCCACGCCAGCATTCTTCCTCCATAAACTTCCACCATGGAATCTTTGGCTCTGCCATCACTCTGCTCTTCTGCTAGATTTCCAAAGTCATCCTACAGACGACCATCCAGTGCAGCTTAGCTACCACCTCACCACCACCTTGCAGTCTCCTGTCTGTTTATATAGTCCGAATTACACATTTATTACAAAAACAGGACCTTAAATAAACAATAAGGTTTCCAATTACAATCTGACCCTGATGCTTAACATCATTGCTTTAAAAACTAGCTGATTATCAAAACAATTAGAATATTGTTGTGGATTATTTTTGTCTATCCAACAAATTATTCGAGCGATTATGAGCACTACTGGCTGCACGTAATAGATTAATTTTATTCCTTTTTAGCTCTTAGCTTTTTCAGACAGTAACGTAGAGTGTACAAGTATGACTGAAGATCATGTCTTACTGCTGTTGAGGTCTATGAGGAAGACCCTTTTCAGGTGTTTGTGATAGACTAGTGCAGCGTGAACACGAGAGCACGACTGATGGTCAATGGTGAAGTCGCACCAGTCGGGGTTCCTCCCAAATAGGTAGTACTTCTTTTCATCTATGATCAGTTTCTAGAAGGAGAGACACGAGTTAGTGACTTGGCTTTGAAAACAAGCCAGTGAAGAAGGCTGAATAACATTTCTGTGCCTCTGAGCCATAACTCCACAGTGTTGCTTCCACTGAAAAGCTTAAAACTCAGGGCTGATTCTACTGTCGCACCGTTTGAAGCCCTGCAGCCAAAGCAGACTGTCAGGCTCGTATCTGGTGCATTCAATTAACCCTACTACCAGCATTATTCTTGCAGTTCACAAGTATGCAATACTATAAATTGTTGGTCTAGTGTAACATCTCCAAACTTCCAGTTACCTCTATCAGTTTGTCCCCCTTCATCACGTCCAGGTGGAGCCCAGGGGGCGGTTTGCCTGCCCTAAGAGAAAACATTTTTAAACATTAAAACTGTCTAAGTTAATGTTATACGTGGACAGTGGATCATTATTCTAAATAAATGGCTACACTCCATTGTCTCCCCTTGCTGCAGTTAAGGATTTGTTCATAGAAACGACTCACTCACCTCTGCACTCATAGAAACGTGTTCAAGATTGACACTTTTACATACAGAAAAACTTATTAAATTATATCCTGCGTATACATGTGATTTATTTCTTCTTTTCATGATCAGAATTAAAACTGCACATAAACGATGGGTCTTAATAAGAAAAAAAGAGGCAACGCCATTTGTAGATACACACCAGCGTTAGCCTGCTCAGATGCTAACATTAGCCACTGTGAAAACCAGCTATTCTCCTCTGTAGAAAGTTACATTGATAATTAAGTGAATGCTAATCTGCTCATTTGCACCTGATATCACATAACAAGCTAACGGCTACAACTTTAGCACGTGCATTTTCTCACCATGATGGACAATCAAAAGGAGGGGGACTGTCTTTGCTTATTTTAGTCGCCATCTTGCCTCAGCTTCTCAAAGCAGAGCTGCATGCTGGGTAAACGTCACTTCGGATTACTGGGAAATGTAGTCCTGTAGTACTGCCAAACATTGAATAGAATATTAGACTACGTTTTCTCATTTACTCCGACTTTTACTTAAAATAAGTGGTAATACAAAATAATACATGAATTTTCTAAGCATGTTTAAACCCATGAGGGGGGGGGATTAAACTAACACCAACTTTGAGTTACCACAAGAACCAGCAGGGGTCCCTATCCCCCAAATTTCTAAGTTAACACTGTTAAAAGGTCAAATCAGATAAAATAACTGATATTTGTTTCGTGAGCAGCTGGTGGTTTGAATGAAGCTAGGACTGTGGGTCTATCTATTTGGGGCAACGGTACTAATAGCTGGTGTGGGCGGACTCTGTGTCAAGCACTGATCTTTAGAGCTTTTTGTGGTTCTTGGAAACTGTGAGTTGAGTCAAACGCTAAAAACCACTGCCTGCCTTCCTTGATATGTCAAGGTGGGAGGATATCTAGCCTCTCCTTGCTGCAGATAGAAGTGTCATAGGCTTAGAAAAGCACTAAGAGCAGGAAGTGCTGAGAGAGAAAGATGACACATGGCTAAAACGAATATCACAAAGAGCCTGAAATATTAGTGAAGAAAAGCTATCAGTGTGTCCTCGCATCTGTGCTCTGAGAGTTGCTCTTTTGCATTTTTAAAGGTTATCATAGTGCATGTATTTATTTAAACCTTGCGCAATGTGTTCACACTGATTTTGGCCACACCGTTAAGTAGAGCAGCTTGACTATCAAACAAGAAAAAAGAAATATAACACGTTCACACTGCAAAATTGCAATTGCGATTTGCTCCTTTTAAAGTCTGTCATCCTCTCCCCCTTTCTCTCCCTCTCTCTCTTTCACTCTTACACACACACACCCACACACACCCAAAAAATTAAGACATATAAAAAGCTCAAAGTTAGAGTGTGGATGTTTTCTTTTATTCTTCATAGCAGGCTTTATGCTGTAATCCCCCAAAATTTAATAAAACATTCTTTTGGATACTTATTCACCATCTTCACAGCAATGAGGCTTTGCCAGATTGCTTTGTCCCCGTATGTGAATGCACAAGTTGTGCAAAGAGATCCTGTAACTTCCTCATTCACTTTTGTGGTTTTTAACTGAGAAAGCACCCCCGTTTTGTGCTGCGCTTGTCATTTGCTGCCTGCCTTCATTTTTGGTTGCACACACTCAGAGGCAGCAGTGATGGCAGGCGCCACTGCTTTGCCACTTCAGGAATTCATCGCGTCATTGGACGATACCTGTCTGCCAAAACTTTTGCAAGTTTGCTCTGGAGTATATTTCCAAGGTAGTTTTTTATTATTATTATTATTACTTTTTCTCAGTGAGATGGCATATACAGAAGGACAGCACTTACGAGATTATAGATTACTTCATTGCTGTGCGCTTCTCTGTGTTGTGTCTGTCTTTCATAAATTCAAAGTTACAATCTAGTGTACATTCCTTTTACATTTTGTACATTTTTAACCCTAAATTAGACGTTATTATATATAAAAAGAACAGTGAGCATTTGTTGTATTGCTCATGGCTCGCAACTGGAAACAATTCCCATTAGAGTGTATGCGTTCATGTGCTAGTTAAGAAATCATAATCATTTTTGTTCCTTCAGTTTCTTGTTTTCCATTCCAGGTTCTATATATGAAATTTCTGGGAGTGAAGTGTGCTTTTCCACTGGGGATCTAATAAAGGTCACTAAAATTGAGCTCCTATCAGTTTCCTGTCAAGACGTAGCAAACAATGAAACATTTGAGCTGCCTATCAGCCACACAGGTTGGTCTAGAGAAATTCTTGTAAGAATGGTTAAATCTATTTTGTAGAACTACAATGACTTTTCTTTTCTTCTCAGGCTTGTTCAGGGTCGTGCCAGAGGAGATGCCATACAGTACGGTAGAGGAGATGGTCAGCATGAGGCCGGTAGGCCTCGACTCCTCTCTTCCCTTCACTTTCTCCAGCCACTCCAAGATGACCATTGGCAATTTAGCACTGGGAGCTGGGACAGCTTTGACTGTGCTCTCTGTTGAGAAGCACAAGGATCAAGAGGATCAAGTCCGCTGCCTTATTCGAGGACAACAAGAAGCCTCAGCTGAAGTGTGCATCCCTGTTTCTTTCCGAGGGGAGTTCTATGAGTGTGAGAGTGAGGAGCGCTTTACCCTGCGGGAGATCATGTCCTCGTCGTCCCTGCGTAGCCGAAGGTTTCACTTTGTCAATGCTACCAAGTGTGATCGGCCTCTTATGCTCAGTCCAGTATACCATGTCCAGGCCGTCATGAACTGTAAGAATAACCTACTTTTTAACTATTTAACTACTATTTAACATAATGTTGATCTGGATTTGTTATTTGTGTGTGAACCCCACCGTGTGTTATGTTAATGCAAAGTTTGTGAACTTCCACTTTAACTTCCACCTTAATTGTGAAATACTTGGTTCATGACATTTTATTGTTCCTCTACATCTGTGCACATTTATGCACTACATAAACAACATTTGTGCATATTAAAATTTTACACTTGAAGCCAATGACATATAGTACATACCATGCTATAAAACAGTTAAAGTTAATGCCACCTTGAAAAACATCAGCATATCATTAAAAGCAATTAATCTATATGATGCACTGTTATGATTGCTTATGATTATATGATTGCTTATATTTGTAACCTCAATAATTTAAATTCAGAACAAAAAAAAGCATAGTTCACCTGTACTGCACTCATACCAAAGTTAAATATACCTAATATGCATGACTGCCTTCCTCTCTTTTGTCTACAGTGAGGAAGAATGTGGTGAAGTTTCCATCCAGCTTAGAAGTGGATGTGGTCGATGTCACCGAGCTGTGTAAAGATGTGCATTTTATTGTACCCCTTTCTCTGAGTGAAGTCCACTCTGAGCCGAATAAATCATTCCCTGGAGTGGTGGAGATCATCGAAGACCCAGAGACGCGCTCCCTGTTCAAGTGCAGCTGGCTACCGGAGCTTCGCAAGAATGAGCACCTGATTTTTCACAAAAAAGGAACCTCGCCCATGATTTTATTATCCACTTTGAAAAGCAGGAAAACACCGCAGTACTTCCTGGTGTCTCAGCAATATGGTGGACGTTTCCGGAGACGGCCAAGAGAGTTTAATTCAGTATACGAGCTGTACGTTGCTTCAATCCACGCACCAGGTCTGAAGGTCAGCGTAACAAGGAACTGTGAGGAAGTGGAAGAGGAGGGACTCCCTGCCCTCAGTGTGGGGGAACAGCTTGAGGTTGTGCGCTGCGATAGGATGGTTTTACCCTGTGAAGGCAAAGCAGGACAGAAGCAGTCGGTAGAGGCTCTTTTGTGTTATCGCCTTCAAGAGTCGGACGATGATGATGATGACGATGATGATGATGATGATGAGGATCAGGTGAAAAGGGAGGATGAAAAGGAAGAGATTATTATGCCTCTTTACATGGAGGGTCACTTTGTGGAAGTACTCAGTGACAACAGGAAGTACAAACTCAGTGACTTGGGGAAGGAGTTTAGCTTGCCTCTGGATGTTAAAGTGGTGGGCCGTGATACAGAACTCGAGAAGGATCCCCTCTATGGGTTCTCATGTCTCAGAATAGAGGCAGCTATGTTGGAACCCACCATTCAGGCAAGCTTTGTACACAAGCCAGAGTACTGTTTCGAGATCCCAACGCAGTGGCTCTCAATGTCTGTCTATTTTACTACAGACCCCCTCCCATGGCCCAAAGATCAACCCCCCACGTGTCAAGTGGAAAGAGTTACCGAAGTTGCAGACACATTCTTTTATGAGTTTCGCAAACGTGGTAACTCAGATGCGGAGCCGCCACCTCGACCACCAAAGCGAAACATGTCATTTTCGGCACCTCCCAAAAAAACAAAGAAATCAAAGAAGGCAAACAAATCCAAACATCAAGGAGACAAAAGCGTCCCAACCAAACAGTTCAGCGACTTGACTTTGAATAACAAAAAGAGGCCCCCCGCCCCACCACCTCCCGTGAGTGACTCTTTTCATGCTTGTATAACATTTTCGAAAGCTATTATTATAAAGGCTAAAGCTCAGCTTAGGTTGTCTAGATTTTCTTGTCACGTCAGGTTTCTCTTGAAACCCCACTACGGTGAAACTAATATACAGATTCTCATAATGTGACTTTCAGGAAATGAACTAAGCAAAAATAACAAATTGGTGCTTCCACTTTTTTCCTGTGGTAAATACGCCATGCATGTAATAAAACAGAAGTTTCCTCTTTTGTGCAGGCTAATGAAGATGAGCCCCCACCACTTGTGCCCCGAAAGTTCTCAGCGGCTGACCAAACCATAGGCAAGGCTCTGCCAAACACTTATGTACAAATGAAGGAGTCTGCTAAAACAGGTGGGGCTCTGTCTGATATAATGTTTTAAGAGAGCCACCGATTTGTCTCTTGCAAAACTTATAGTGCAGCTGCTGGACTAGTAAAGCATTCTCTATGTTTATATTAAAGCAGTGTTTGCAGGACAACCTCTAAATTTGAGACATTTTCACCATGGGAAAGAGTTTATATACTGTAGGGTTTATATAAAGACCCCAAAAAGTTGAGAATACTGGCAGACTTTGGCTTCCCTCTACATCTCTAAGACAAATGTGAGCGTGACTGTTCACAGAGCCACAGAGAATTCACAAAGTCATCAAGACCACTAAAAGCACATAGAGTAACATTTTTTCTGCCATAACGCACAGAACTAAACTTAAAGTAAATGAATATGAAGAAGGGTTAAAAATCAGCTTCACCTGCACTATATACACAAAAGTACTGGTCAATACATTTTTCATATTTGAATTCAAAGGGTTTTAGTCCCATTTCAGCAGCTGTATAAAATCAAGCATCTTGCCATGCAG